ACCATTCATTAAAAAAGTCACGTATTTTCGAACTGTTCGCTTCTTATTAATCAGTCGTCAAAGAACTTCAAATATTTCTGCACGGATCTCAAATCAATAATATTAATTATTCATGATAAATTACAAATTAGTAATATTCTTAATAATAAATTATTATTAGTTAGTTAATGAAGCTCGTTATAAATTCTCGAGTCGTTTACAAGCAATTTTTGAATTCTCTAAAAATGAAAACTCTTGTGCAACATTCTTCAATGAATTAAAATCTAATATTAACATAATTCATAACATTGTAATATTACTATAATTGTTATCAACTACCAAAATTAATAATCATAATATTAGCATTTAATTAAATCAAAAACCACTCAAAAAAGTTTTCTAAATAGTTTGTTACACCTTTCGTTAACCCGTGTTAACCCTTTGTAAACCGATATTTAATCTATTTTCAATGAAATCAATAACATTAAATGTAGTACATAATAGTAAACATGTACTAGACTGTGGTTCGTGGTTTATTTCATGCTACATGCATTTTTTTACAGTCATGAACAAAAATTTATCCTATATAGAGTCAAACCATTATTATTTTGTGTCACTTCCATAACCATCGGTCAAAGATAACATTCAATTGTAAACACTGGCAAACCAGCAGCTTCGCTCGTGGCGATTTTCATGCAGTGACAAACTACCGAATCCAGTTTCGCCGGGAATGTAGCCGAGTAAGCAGGCCGTTGCACCTTGCAGACAATTCATTCAAAGGTGTAGAAGTTCCCCTGCATTGCGGGCTTTTATTTACAGTCGGCCGAACGTCCCGCGAGCACGTGCCTCCTGATCGATCTTGCGTATTTCCCAGGAATCACGCAACGCAGCGCCGGGAATCTTCTTCGTTTTCTGGTCCCTGTCAAAAGAAAAGGGAGTATCCTTGAGCGAGCGAGACCGATCACGCCGCGATCGATCTCGCGCACAATGCCAAATTCAATTCGAACCTAGTCCTGGCTGACGAATCCGTGGATGCTCATTCCCGAATTTTTATTGGCCGCGATGTCGCACAGGAAATCCACAGACGATGCGTAACGCGCGTTGCTATCGAAGTTCGGGATTGTTGGTGTTTGTTGTGGAAGGGTGACCATTGATTTGCAGCGCGATAATATTAGGAAGAAGTTCGTGCGAGTTCTTAACACTAGAACTATTGAGTATTTAATATGATTGACATGTAATCCTTATAAAAAATGTAACAATTGATTATTTCGGATATTTGTTATAGTATTCAAGTGAAACTATTCATTTCCGAAATCATTTGGAATTTTTACTGCTTTTATGATATCAATAATCGTGAAAAGAAGAAACCGACATCAGTTATTTTGACTAGTACGGTAGTTCTAGTGTTAAATTAAGGTTGAAATGCAGAAAACGTTTTTGTAAAGTAATCTTGTTTCATTTTATGCCAATGGTATAGACATAAATTGAGAGAAAGAACAAGCACATATATGAGTATATACCAGTTTTCGTATATTTTTCTCAAATACGAAAGTATCTCTAAAAAATTAAAATCGCCAGTAAATAGAAGAATATTAAAAATAATATTTTATTCATGAAAACATAATTGGGCCAGAGAATACATCAAAAACAGACAGGGTTATTTGTCTTAGATAGGTTGTAAATCTACATTTCACATATTCCACGATTTTTCAAAATTTTCTCAAGATTGAACGTAATAAAATTTTCTATATAATTAAATATTCATTTTCATGAATCTCTGTAGGTAATCTATTAATTACTCGACGAGCAGCCGGGCTGAGTGGGGTGAGGTTGCGGGTAGGTCGGAAAGAGTTCCGCAATTTCAGCAGTGCTGTGAAAACCGGCGTGCAATATAAAAAAATAAAAATATTTTACTTCGAATATTTCAACGAAGTGTCAGGCTCTTCCAATTCCCTTTTCTCGCAGTCTCTGTTGAACAGTTTCCGTGATCGTATACACTTGCAAATTATTCACAACATTTTCAAGTAATATTCGTACAACATCTCCATATTTCAACAATAAAAACAAAGCTCATAGTTTTTGCATGTCCGTGTGCGAATAAAAATTTTTAGTGGCTAGTACCATTTTAAACTGCGGATTTTTATGCAAATTTCTACTGTTGGTACTTCGTGAAAAGAATTTGAAACAAAAATTTATTTATGCTACCGTAGGTATAACAAAACGCTAATTATATCTTCACTGCTGCTTCTATTTTATTATATATAATAAAAGTAATATATTACATGACAGAGTATATCATAAATTCATAAAACTCACCGTTTACTTAATCCATTCAATGTAACATGCGACAATTCACGCGATAAATAATTTATTATATATCCTTTAATATTTAATTTTACATTATTAGATATTTAACATTATTTTTCAAGGAGATCAGAAATAATTGATTTTTTATTGGTATTTCTAATTTTTTCTACCATCTTGCGCTATCTGCGTCACAAGTAAAGATCAGAAAATATATTGAACTTGAACTACATTACAATCTACTTAAAAAAGCAATAGCTTCACCACAAATTTCATGTATATAATTAATATATGTAAAAGGTTTACTTTTCCTAATCCTAAAATAAATCTAGACATATCATACTTCTTCCCAATTAATTTTTTCATGTATTTCTAATTGTTTCTATACGTTGAAATTAATAAATTAAAATGATTGAATATAAGAAACTATATTCAATTTAAACTACATCACTATAACATTAAGAAAGTAGTGGTTTTGAAACAGATCGAACGCGTATTATCAGTGCAGTTCCTCTCATATTGAAACGAACCTGTTTAATATTCGTTTACAGAGAACAATACATCGAAATGAATATTTCTCTTACAGGGAGCACGACTAAATATTTGACAAGTTGTTTCAAATATTACAAAATCTATTAACGATGATGTAGCTGCTGGATTATCACGATACGCGGAGTTGAATAAATATTTAATCAGGTGTGAGTAAAGTTGCCAATGTGCATTTCATGTGGAAATTGTATGCGTCGCACAAAGCCGTGTTTCCAAGTAGAATTTCATTGGCACGGATATAATGAAACTTGAAATAATTGACGCAAATTTGTTACATTAAATTGTCAACGCATCTTCAAGAGGCTTGGCACACTGACACACTGCGTATGGAAACTTCAACGTTGCCGATAATATCAGAACACGCCCATTATCATGTAATCCAGGGATGTCTGTGTTACTGTGCAACCAGCACATAACTTACATTGTAATCCAGGGATTTCGCGTAACGACTCACAGTAGAAATCAACTGTATCGGTGCAACAATGGTGCAACTGGATGCTTGAGAATTCACAGCCTCAAAACAGGTAGTTTCTCCAAAGTTTCGCGCCATTAAAATTGTTCCGACGGCTCTCGTTCTACTTTCTTTATAGAAGTTTAGAAATTATTGTTGTTACGTGCTTGGCGTGCTCCACTCGGGAGCAACATAAACAGCCTTGCGTTTTCTGGGATTTGCTATTCGAATAAGTACTATGCTGCATTTTTTTACTATATACATAGGCATTGAATAGTAATGAAAGTGGTATAATATGGAAAAAATTAAGAAAACGAATAACTTACGTGTAATTTGATGAATAACGAATGTAGTAAGAAATGAATTAGTGATCGTAGACATAGAATAATGATCAAATTTTTTCATTTTTCTGCTAAATTATTAAGAATGAAGTAGTTTTATCAAGCGTCGCTCTGAGAAAGATTATACGACAAAGGGTTAATTTAAATTGGACCACTATTCAAAAGGGAAATTGGTTAGGAAAATATTTTAACACTAAACGTACCGACACTTTGTACATACCTATTCATATACCAGTCAAATAATTGATTGTAAAATAAAGGTAAACAAGTTAAACGATAAATCGTTCTTATTGCAAACAGAAATAGAATGGCAGACAAAGATTGAAACACCGATTAATTGAACGATATAGGATTTGATGTAAAGTTAAATGAACGAAGAACAATTTTAACACTATTTCTACCGAATTTCTATTTTGAAATTTTAACTGAAATTATTTTCTCAGTTTAATCGTCTTTTCTTAATTGAATTTTGTACATTTCCTGTAGTTAATTGTTATAGTCGTTATTGTAAAAGACGAAAAGTCAATTCAAAATGCACAGCTGATCTAGGAAAACAATTTTCAGTTAAAATTTCGAAAGGTGTCTTCGGTACCTTCGGTAGAAATAGTGTTAAATACACTGAAAAAGAATCTCTAATTTCTTCAATAATCAAATCATTCACTTACTTCTAATCTGGGTATCGAACATTCATTCCAAAATACATAACAAACATCAAATTACCCTAACTTAAACATCGAGTTCAACATTTAGTAGAAATCTTTAGTACAAACTATTAAATCAAATTTTAAAACCGGTCATTTGACCGGTCGCGGTACATTTACTGTTAACACATTGTTAACCACGATATAACTCGTGTTTTCACCAGCAACTATTTGAATTTTTAAGAAATAGAGCAATGTAGAATACTGCAAACGCAAAATATTAAAAGTTATATAAAAGATACATCCAAAGTTTCATTTCAATTCATTGTGTATGAATAAAGTATATCGAAGTTTATTCAAATTGTTTCACTTTTATTTTTAATTACGGAATAATGACCGGTGACAGGGGATAGCTTCAGCGTAAAATTGCCAGCCAACACTGTTAATCGCGTTACAAGTTCTACTGTACATCTCCAAATCGTCGTGCATCAAAACAGAAAAAAAGGAATAACGTCGAAAGTGCAAGTGCTCCGATCAAGTCGTTCGAAACAACATTTCGCCCAGCAACGCGAGATCGTCGGGGGTTTCCCCGTTTCCCTGGCAGGCAGGTCTGCGTCCCAACGGGCGCGCGTACCTCGCATGCGGGTGCATGTGCCGGGTGGATGTCGCGCGTGCGCGCCGCTGCGCGGTCGGCCAGACAGCCCGCCGCTACGGGTGCATCTCGCGGCAGTTCGCAGTCGTCTTCTAAACCAAGCTCATTAGTCGCTCAGCATTCGTCCGGGACACATTTTCGTGGTTCCCACTCGTTACTCACACAGAACCAACTCGCGCGCACCATCAGCTCACCCTTCCTTACCCTTATCTCTTTTCTATCTCACCCCATCGCATCCCCTTCGTGAACGAACATTCTTCAGACGGGAACTAGCACTGAAAGCGAACCATAAAAACCTACAAAGAAAAGCAAACCCAACGAAACAGAACAATAAATAAACTAACCGTGAAACATTAGTTATCAAGCAACGATCCCGTGCGTTAGGGGATGCAACTGAACTCGTCGGGCTGCGGTGCACGTGCCAGCTGACTCTCGAGGAGCGTCGAACTTGCCCACGCGCGACTGTCTCCCTCCCAGTCGTCGGGGAATCCCCGTTCCAGACCTCTGCCCAGCAAGTTTCCTTGTGTACGAGGGGAAAGAGGAATCCTCGCTTCCGTCCGGTTCGCGTAAACACTCTCCGGGGTGTCTCCGAGCCAATGATCGGGCGTCGGGTTGCGGGTAGCGTCGATGTTCCCCGAGAATAGTCCCGAACTGCTTGAACATCGAACCGGAGCCAGCGGATCGAAGAGCGAAAGGTGGTCCGAGAGGGTAAAGCAGCTAGGGGTCGTCGACACGGCGACGCTGGGATAGAGGATCGCTAGGCGACGCGACGAGAGCACACCGAGACAGCTCGGCCGATGGTCGAAACCACTTCGATCCAGCGGTTCACGATCAAGTTCCCCATGCTGCAGCCACCGTCTCCCCTCCTGGAGATGGCATCCCTGCGTCTACCGGACTCGGAGGAGTTCGACGTCGATCCGCGGCGTAGGAGCAACAACGGCAACGTGCCGCCCACGACCGTCGCGGCTGTACCGCCGGTCACCGGCACCACTCTGCTGCAGATGAGAAACGACTTCGGGAGCTATCTCAACAGTCTGATCGCGGAGGCTATCACTACTAACCCGAGGAGCACCATGGAGGAGCACGGGGGATTGCTGAACGCTAGCAAAACGGTGAACCTGTCTAACGCTGAACAGATTCCTGATCGATTGTACAGGCACAGCATGGCTATGTCCGCTGTTTACTGTGTCGCCTATGTACTCGTATTCGTCGTGGGACTCATCGGGAACAGTTTCGTTATCGCCGTCGTGTACCGGTCCCCTAGGATGAGGACCGTCACGAATTTCTTCATCGTCAACCTGGCCGTCGCCGATGTACTCGTCATCGTGTTCTGCTTGCCTGCTACTCTGATGAGCAACATCTTTGTTCGTGAGTACCGTTTTTTGGATTTATATGGGGTTTCTGGAGTTTGGGTTTGCCCTTTGCGGGCGATCTTAATGGCGACTTTGAAGTTCGATGTTTTAAATTATATCTACTGAATGTTGAACTCGATGTTTATGTTAGTTTGATGTTTGGTAAGTATTTTGGAATGAAGGTTTGGTACCTAGACTGGAAGTAAATGAATGGTTTGATTATTGGAGAAATTGGAGATCCTTTTTTAGTGTATTTAACACTGTTTCTAGCGAAGGCGTGAAAAGACGTCTTTTGAAATTTGAATTGAAAATTATTTACCCAGCTTAGTCCTGTACTTTGAATTGAGTTTTCGACTTTTCCGATAACGATTGTAAGATTAATTGTAAGGAATGTGCGAATTCAATTGAGGAAGAATTATTAAACTGAGAAAATAGTTTTAAGTTAAAATTTCGGTAGATATAGTGTTAATATTTCGATGTGCAATTCAAATTTTTATGGGTAATGTTTTTGGGAGTTTAAACAATTGTTGTTCGCGAAGGGTTAATGTGTATAGAAAATAATTCGATTCTGTGAAGGTGGAGAAAAATTCAAGTTCTTTAAGTCTATTCTATACTTTTTTGGAACGTTCTGAACAAGTATTGGGGCCTGAGGAAGTTTAATCTGAAGGATTAGTTTTTTGGGTGAACGTTTTTGGTTGAAAAATTGGGATTGTTTCGCAGTAGTCACGATTTATCAGAAAGAATGAAAGAAAGAAATAATTCAGTTTATTGGTTTTTGATTTGAGTAAGTCTAGTGGAATATCTTCTTTTCTGTTTTGCGTTATATTCCTTGCTGCCTTTCGTGCAAAGAGTCACGATGTGGATGAATTAGTTCAGGCTTATGTAAACTGTGAACCTTGGAGGCCATTGATACCGTGATTTGTATTAGAAGTTACGTAAAATGTGAGACACGTAAATTTTAGAATAACAAAAGCAGCTTATGAATATGCATTTTCGATGATGTAGTGCCTTTTGAAAGTTTGGAATCGATTCCAGTAGTCATCGTCCATGAAAGGAAATGAAACACGTGAATAACATTATAGTTTGTTGTTTACGACGTTAGTAAATTTATAAAAGAGTTTTTTCCTACTATCTTATCCTTGTTATTTCCTGTTTCAACAGGTAGCAATATTTTATTGATTTTTGTATTTAACTCGTACGGCTTCGGTGGGTTTATGGATTATTGGATTTTAGCGTTCGGAATGATTTTATTGCACAGCCAGGGTCATTGTACTTCACCTTTGCACTAGGCGATCAGTAAACTGCGGAATTCGTGCAAATAGACGATTTTATAGAGTAATTTGAGAAATTGGTGCTAAATAAAATTTCATCTCTTTTATGAATGCTTTCTGTCAGTGATATTAAAGTGAAGGCACTTTTATTAAACTCTCTATTGTATTAATTTTTCAGGATTTTAATTTTCGGATAGAAAAGCCGTTATTGAAAATAATACATTGTTTTGACAAAATGATATAAAAACAAATAAAGATTAATATTTTCATAGTATTTGTGTAGGTGTATTAATTAACTTCAAATATCAACAATTTTGAGTATTATAATATAAATATGAAACAGATGCATTGTTTATTCTGGTTGAATAAGTAATCCCAAACTTTTGAGGAATTGTGCATTCAGTTTCAGAGGAACATGCCCCAGAAGTCCATTGCAAGATTGAAATAACGAATATGCCGTTGGAAACCAGTGTGAATAATATAAAACTTAAAATGTACGTTTCCGTGTCAATATTCCAGAGCTTCCGGTAAACTAGAAAGCTCGTAGACGATTCGAACTGTCTAATTTAAAGTACTCAAATTCAAAATATCAATTCAATTAAAATTAAAATTAAATATTTAAAATATCTAAGTTAAATATTTGGTCACTGTCGTAACATTATATTCACCGCAATTTTTGTTGAACACATAAAGGATGCGAATTTCATTTTTTTAAGCCACGAACAATTAAAATAGTCTACTTCAATGTATTCAAATTTAAAATATTTATATTAAATATTTCGTAATTTCCATAATATTACAGTCACTGAAATTCCTTTTACAAGTGAATAAAATTCAAATCGTCTACTTCGAAATATTTAAATCAACTGTTTCACTATTTTCGAAGTATTATAGTCACGCAACTTTTTCTTTAAGCGTAGAAGATATGAATTATTTCCTTTAAACTATTCAAATCAAATATTTCACAAGTTCCGTAACATCACAGTCACTAACCGTTGTTTTTTCAAAAGAAGATTCGAATCGATCGCTAGTATTGATCGTGCGTGAACGGCCGGGGATGATAGAGGGGCTCGAAATCACGAAAATTGGATCGTGGACGATTAAACGGGCGGCAGGGCGCGAGCTGGAACCGTTCGCCGCCGATTCGACGTTGCAGGGCCTCCGTTCCAGTCCTCCGTCGACCTCGAAGGGAGGTCGGAGGCAGGACTGGAGGGGCTCTCTCCCTTGGTACTACGGAATCGATCCTTTCGCGACTCTCCACGGCGCTCTGTTCACGCTCGATGCACCGGCCGTATCGTGATCCCGTTTTCAGGGGCCGACAGCTTCATCTCGGGGTAACTGCAGATAAATTATTCGATAATGGAATCGCGTGATACGTCCCGGACAAAGTGCAAAAGAGTCGTATCCACGGATTCCTTTCAATTTCTGAGTTCGATTGGCTCCCAACCGATTCTAGCGGATTTGAATCGATCGGTGACAACGGTGTCGCCTCCCATCGATTTGGAACGGAATTTTTTTTTAATTTTTCAGAATAACCCGTTCTTGATATCTTCTTTTTACAATTATTGAAAAGATTTATTGGAAAATTTATTCTCACAGCGTTCGCAATAATTTATATTTTCTACCTCTGTGCAAGGTGAAGGTGTAACGAAGCGAAACTTTGACCTAACTCAGATGTAATACAAACATAGAAATCTTCCATCAAAAATCGATAGAACTCGATTCTTCTCAATGCTATTTTATTTGTAACATTTCTGTAACACTAAAACTATCAGGTAGGTCAAAATGACCCGTTCTTGATGTCACCTTTTTGCTATTATTAAAAATGTAACACAGATGTTTCATTAAGGAATTATTAAAAAAATTGATTTAGCAATATCCAAATTGAATTATAAATCAATTAAAGTTTCAGTTGATGCACTTCTGAAGTTTCTATACAGGAATTTCGCAAAATCAATTTAACTGCTCAATAGTTTTAGTGTTAACACATTTTTAACTATGGTTTAACTCGTGTAAAATATTAAAAGTTATATAAAAGATATATCCGAAGTTTCATTTCAATTCATTGTGTATGAATAAAGTTTACTGAAGATTATTTAGATTGTTTCACTGTCATATTTAATTACAGAATAATAACTGGTGACATGAGATAGTTTCTCTTTAAAATTGCCGGGCAACTGTATTAACACGTTCGCTACCAGCGTCGCGTATTTGTGACGATCGATATTTCGTTTTATATAATGAAGAATAAGTTACATTTACATGTATTTTCATATAATATTGTAATGTATGGTGTAGTGTACAGTAAGTAGAGGAGATTACTTTTCTTGAATATCATTTGTACTTTGTAAAGACGATATATTTTATTTAATGAAATATTGCAACTACGAGGTTTGTTGGAAAACCTCGACAAATGGGTTAACTGATACTTGTCCAATAATAATTATTGGTTGTAAAGTTTTGTGTCAATAGAATTTATTCAAAGAAATTATACTTGCATTTCTTCATGAATTTTAGATGGTTTCCATAAATTTAAAGATTTTGCATTTGTTTGAATTTTATTTGTTAAATTTATGAGATGTCGATTACTTGAATAAGTGTTTGATTCATTTTTACGTAAAAGTGTAAGGAGAGAATTATATAACACAAGAAGAAGTTTAAAAAGAATTATATATTTTATAAATGCTCTTTCAAATTAGTGTTTTAGATTCGTACTAAGAATACATTTATTTCTAATTGTTTTTTATTAGAAAAGTGTAATTTAAGAATGCCACCTGTAATAAAAGATATTTAATGTTGAACTAATTTAAAACGAAATACATAATATAAACTTGATTTGTATGTATATGTATCCCTAACTAATTCAAATTTTCAATGGTATATTCGTTTAGAAGCACTGAATAATAAATTGATCCAGATTTGTGGAGGGTTACCACAACACCTGAGTCGGTAATTTTATTTAATCAGCGACAGTGAAGAGACTATAATAAGGACGTAGATGTAAATGATCAGTTCAATGATGATTAATTAAATGGGTCAGCTAATTCCGATAATACCAAAGGATAACGAGGTGTATGGTGCACAAATATGAATTCGTCGGCGGGACGACGCGCAATTAAGCAGAGATCGTTACGTGTGCAACGTGTATTCGATGTAACATCCATCTAATTACGATCGCCGACATGCAACTATGGTGTGTACGGCCGGTAATTCGTGCTTGCAAATTTTATAAAACCATCAATCAGAAACGTGAACGTGATGATATATATTAATGATACATTATGAGACTTGCGAGAAAGTAATTATACTTTTTGACAGTGTTAAAATAAGACTATTATTTTATCAATTGTTAATTAGAAAGTAAAGAGCTTATCTATCCAAATGAAATGTTCTCGTTATTTTTCATTTAAAAAAGGGGATTCAAATAAAATGTTTTTCTTCAATTCAAGTAAATTTAGTTTAATATACTAAATTTAACTTTATTCTCAAATAAATTTAGAACTTTTGAGTCAATCTGTAAGGGTTCATTACACAAATTGCTGGCTAGAAATTTAAAGTTAATAAGAAAATATTGCAGTTGTGACCATTTGTAGCTTAAGCTTGGCCGAAGGCTGCTCGCAATGTGATTGTAAACGCCACCTTTACGATGTCTTTTATTTCTTCTTCGATAGCTATCGACTGTTACGTATAGCTTAGCGTTGAGGTCCAACGCGATTTAGAATTTAATGATTTCGTTTTCTCACCA